TATATCACGTTATATAACATTTATAACGTTATCCCCTCTCAAAAACATGACCAGAGTCTTGCTTTGACTCATTCGTGCATGGTTGAGAAATCCTGTAGTGTCCTGAGGCAGCCAGGGAGCAAAAACGGTCRGATGGGACTAGAACCTCCTTTTAGGATCAGCTCCTCCTCTGGGCTGTGTCTCCAAGCTGAGCTTCCTCATCACAGAGCACACCTCCCCCATGACTCCTGCAGGCTCTCAGCGGCAACAACTGGTAAAACCATGTCTGCTAAGTTACTATTTTCCAAAACAGTTATTGTATAATGTTTCTGCTTTTTAAATTAATATTACAACAAAATACAGCTCCTAAGACTCATAAGACTGGTTTTAAACGACCTGAAGCTTTGTTGTGATGATGTGCAGAAATGGACGTGACAAGAAGTAGCAGGTTTTTAAAAAGACAAGCCAATTTCAAGGTGTTTAGAAACGGATATGATGTGAAGTCAAATTTATTTTTGATTTATGCATAGAGACAGCCTTTTAATAACACCTGAAGGTGACATAGTTATTTTCTTCTCTGGTATAGATTTGAACTATATGCCCGAGAAACACATAATACTGGCCCTTTAAATGAACAGGTCATTGAAATCAACACAAAATTGTCTGTATGTGTAATTCATTGTTTTCTTTGAGCAGTAAAGTACCGTATTCATTCATGTATAATACGATCTCGAGTATAATACGGTCAGAATTTTTTGAGATTAAAAAGCATAAAAAAATCTAATCATCAATAACCCATGTATAATACTATCCCCCATTTTATGGATGGTTTTTAGGGTTAAATWTCTAGTATTATACATGAATAAATACAGTAACTAAACACTATGTTTGTCCATCTTGTCCTGCCTTCTGCATTTTTTAACTTCTCACATGTCCAGCTGTGAGAGTGCATCTCCAGCACAAAACCTCTTGCTGTAAAGCGAGTCCACAATAAAGTTTCTGCACTTTTTCTAGAAAATCTCCCCCTTTTTGTTTGAACAAGGCTTATGGCAGACAGGCCTGCTTCCAATTTGGGGGGAAAAATGCTCATAAATTGAAGCAAAAGACAAATTTATACTCTGATCTTTGGCACTGGATAAAACGTAAAAACCAGAGATAAGACAGAAAAGATTGAGCCAATTTTTTATTGATCCTGAGAGAATTTACTTCAAATACTGTATTATGATCTTATTGTGGTACCAGAAGACGTATTACAGAGTTTCTGGCACAACTTCACTACAGGATTCATGAACATGGAAAACTATCTAAGTTCCAAGACTCCAGCAAAGAGTCTGACTATAAATAGTAAAAAATATATAGTTGGTCTGTATATTACAAATGTTCAGATTTACCAAAACATGAACAGATAAGACTCCCTGACAAACTGCCTGAAGTACAAACGTACACTGCCAGTTTCTGTAAAGTCCTCCATCCCTATCATTGGGTTCGTCATTGATTTCCAACTGGCCTGAGGGTGACTTCCTGCTGCCATGCTAATTTACAAATACCTGCATATTTAAACACGTCACATGAGAAGGTTTGATGTGTCGTAGAAAGTAAACAAGACTCYGTCCTCACATCTTTAGACGTGCTCTTTGTACAGAAAAGTCTGACTCAGAGGAGAGGTCAGGTCAGGGGTCGAGTGAACAGCTGCTGAGGAGGGAAGGTCACCAGGTACAGATGTTTGATGTTACCAGGGTCATTGTGGGTATTCTCCTCAACCCGAGTCCAACCATCTGTTTTAAACCATGAAAATTTAATGCCAGGCTTTTAGTTTGTTATTGATGCAAAAAGATGATTCCGGCCAAAGCAAAGGACTTTGTTAGTAAATTGCATTTCAGAATTACTGTGTGTGTAGTGGGTTTTTCYTTACACACACACAGGGGTCTTTATTGCCATTGGTGGCTTTTACTCTGTCATGCTCACAAATAGTTTGATCCTTAAAGGCCCTCGCAGGCTCACATGCAGTGAACCTGATCTTTACCTCCTTTTGTATCCTGTGTCATTGGGCGCTCCTGGCCCAGCCCACATGATAGTGCTTTTCCCAGGACCCTTGCTTCCTGCATTCACCATGTTCCCATGACAACTAAGCCTAAAAATGGATAGAGCCTCTGCTATCAGGCCGGACTTGTCAAAAGCGGCTTCCTGAAAAGAGCTGGAAAGGGAATCGGCTCCCCAAATCTTCTCACTTTACATCTTTAAGGTGTCAGCACTGAGCAGTGTACACACTCCCACTGTACCTGTGCACACTGTACACTGTACTGTACACCTGCACTATTGTGAGAACAGCCTCAGTGAGATATCTGCTTCGACAGCCTGAGACAGGCCTCTGAATACTGCAAAGGAAAGGTTTTCTGGTAAACTGATGAGGTGTGGAGGCAGAGGATTGATATTCTTCAGCCCTGCACTGCCAGCACACTCACACATGTTCAAAGGGATTTTCGGTTCCRTGTTTTCTTTTCCCCATTAGGGAGCCATGTGTTTTTGATGGCCTTAGTGTTGCCCATTTCCTCACTATTGTGGGATCTGTACACACTTTTCGTTTTGTATCTTCAACACACAGGGAGAACTCTGAGGTGTGAAGCTGGAAACCATTCAAGAGTGAAAGTGAATGTGTGTACTTGTTTCTGCTACAGAGTGAGGACCATTTTAACCAACAAAGTAAAGACCTTTTCTCAGTCCTCACTTCTTTTGAAACTCTACTGGGCTCTACTAGTTAGGTTTAGAGGTATGGTGTGAATTAAGTTTTGGTTCAGGTTAGTGTTAGGAATAAACTAGTAATGGTTAAGCTAGGGTTATAGCTGATGCGATGCACAGAGCACAAATGGGGCTTGCGTCAAAAGTGATGCAATCACGGTGTCCCTGCCCCTGCGCGTTGGCCCCGCGTAGTGTCCTGACCGTTGATCTATATTACTGGATTAGACATCACGTGACTTATCGTGCGCTGCACAGGTGCCATTGCTATGCATTGAGTTTTGACTTGGGAACATCCATGAATGGTGGTAAAAAGGGGATGCAGCAGACAGTCATGCAAGGAATATCAAAAATGGATGCAATATTTTGCCATAAATTGTCAACACTACAACAACAAGATCACAAGACAAAGGTTATCACATATTACAGGTCATTAAAATATTTTTATTTTAAAAAAATGTCGGAGATGCGGAAAGTAGGTCAGTTATGTAGCTTGATTTTGACAACCTTATTATATATTTTTATTAATATTGTTATTATGTTAGGATAACATTGAGAGGTAAATATAATGGACAACAGTAAAATTACCTTTACTACTACTAGGCTGAACTGTGTAGAAATTACTGGTACTGATGTTCCGTGCAGTCAGCAAATGGTATATCCTGTAGTTTGTGATTATATATCAGAGTAAAAAAACTATGTAACTTTTTCCCTCCACCATACATTTCATAAGCTAAGCGGTGGAGGGGCCGACCGCATTTATTTTATGACCAGCTGGAGGAATTTGTCTCTACTTCAGAGCGAATGAAGAACCGGGAAACAAATGCAAAATTAGAATTTTATACTGTATGTATATA